TACTAACTGTTCTTTTTCTAAGCAGTGCCACGAAGTTGGTCCAGTTTGCTAGCTGGAAGTATAGATGTCCCCAACATTTTAATTTGGAAAGCTATAGAGTACCAAAGTGAGTACATTACATGCTCAATTACGTGTGAAGAAGGCATTAGCAGGAGAACCAGCGTGTGAACCAATGTGCATATACACATGTACTCCATTCATTTGCACTACAATTCCTGGTTCAAATGACGACAACCTTTAATGCTCAATAGTATATAGTCTTAACTGACCCCCCCAAGTTAATGAAACTCCTCCTACTTCATGTAAACTTTACCAATTTTTTCAAACTGGTTGTAATTGAAGGTAATGCACAGCAATGTCTGGCCATTTCGTCTGGCACTGTCTGGCCATTTGTATTCTTTGGATGCAGGTGGAGCAAATTTAGGTACGCTGTGAACCAACCAGTAACCAGTGTCATCGTCAAAGGCAAGGACACCTGTAGGATTGGAAGACACCAGCATTACATAGGCCAAAGGATTATAAGACAGGGAACACTAGATTCTGAAGTTGTATTGGCTGAAAGTGCTTTGCTTGAATTATTGTAAAGTGCACCCCCGTTTAATTCGTACACATTTAAGTGTTAAACTTATTCTGGTTCGTAAGTGACTTTGTTACACAGGCAGACATGCCACGATTTGCAGGCTCCCATTGGACGATCGCTGAAGTTGCGCATTAACTTCCGGTTCCATGTAAATGGCAATCAATGCATGTCACTATATGTGCTGTGCATGTGCAGTGGGCGTGGTTAAACTAAAGTGACGCAACACTTACGAACCGGATTGAACCTATGTCACAGGTCATGTAACCAAACTATACCTTGGCTATGCTCAGATTCCTTAGGTCAGATTATGGAGACTGTCATCTGAACATTCATAAGCATGCATTTGTTCTGTGACCCCTGTTAAAATAGAATGCGAGAAATAGGGAACACAAAAGCCAGTTCTCTGTAAAAAGACCTTTCAAATATATTAAACTTGACTGATGAATGGTTTTGAGCCACCTGCACAAACAAGATTAAAAACTGAAGTTAGACATCTCAAGAAGAGTACCATTAGTGCCAAAATGCAGTGAGAAATCCATAGAATCCATTCAGTAAAATCCTAAAGAATATCAAACTCTTCCTACTTCAGTTACCCTTAGTATGCCCATTAAGACCTGTCTGGATTTCTTTGCTTGGAGGCGGTTGATCATTGTACATCACATGTGCCAAATCCTGGAACAGAAATAGGTCAGTTATAATTAGCTGGGTGTGAATCAAGTCATTCAAAAACATAAGATGAGATAGATGGAGAATTCAGATTTAGAATGGAGCTTGTACAGGTTTGATTTACCAACCTTCACTTTACCCCATATTTGTCATTCTACATTTCTCTAACTTTCCAGGGTTATAAAATTTAGACTTCTATTAACTTTTTATTCAAAAAAGGCTCCAAAACCAATGAATATGCATAATTCTACTGAATATCAAATTAAACATTTTGTTTTACTTCCCTAGTTTAAATATCGGATATTATATTGACTCGGGGAATAGCTATGTACTTGGTTAATAGGGACGCTGATATTGCCCAAGCCAAAGACAAGCGACATTATTATCATCATCCATACTCTTGAGCCAGTCTTAAAAAAATGGTTAAGACTAGCCAAGTACATACTTTCATTCACAACTACGTTTTGAGTCACTCCGTCAAAACAAAATTAAGAATTTATTAATTTGGAACAGTTTTGTTTATCACTTTTACTTCCCTGTTTTCTAACACCACTCTGTGTTCAGGTTTGTTCTTCTCATGAATAGTCATAAACAATCTCCTGAGGGGAAGATTTGCACGTGTCAATGGCTCACACTGCCTAGGGTGCTTTATCAACTATTTAAAACAGGCTCTCCGCCAATGGGCCTTCAGTTGAACCAAGATGGGGTACTGTTTCCTCAGCAACATAGGCTCCGGTACGTGGTACTAACTGTGCATCGCTAGTTGGATACGCAAGCGTTGCAGTTGCAATGCTACCAAAAAAGGAATACTCCCGACCAACGCGGCTCTTTTCAACCAATGAGGGGGTGCTTCTGCTCGAGGTGGATAGGAATGGCTGAACTGTCTTGGGTATTCATGAATGTTGCTTTTTGAAAATGAATGGCTGTTATTCAGATCATGTCAACCTCAGCCAGAATTATCAGTAACCCATACAATCATGAGGTTAGTTATGAAGATGAAATGTACATGACTACATTAAATAACTTGTATTTCTCCATCTTACATCATTTTCTTGGTTTCGATAGATCTCTTCCAGTGTGTATGCAATGGCATGGTTGGTGTCTTTGAGCGAGGCACTGGAAAGAGTCAAGACTGGATTGTTGACGTCCATGTACATCTGACCGTATCCATCTTTAATCACCTGTACGGAGCTGCTTGAGTCTTGAGGAAGTTTGTACACAATAAACCTGTTCAGAATTAGGAAAATGGAGACCCTTCAAAAAGTCTGAAATTTAAAACTAACTTGATAAATAAATACAGAAGTCTGCCATCATATGGGGTTTTGAGCCTTCAGCCAAGTACTTTGAAAGAGAACAAGACTTGATATAAGAGCAAGACTTGAGAGAAAAGAGACGAGAAAGGACAGTAATGATGAAAGTGGAAAGGAAGTGTCATCAAGATAATTGTGAAAAGTATGAATTATTACAATAATAAATGGAGAGAAAAAATACACATACTTCTTAACCAGATATGTGACTTACCAATCAACTGGATATCCATTAGCACCCTTGCATGTCACTGCTGCCTCACTGGTTCCCACCATTATGGCAGTCAAGACCAAAAATGTGAACGTCATCACGCAGCAAGGCATTATGAGACTCTCACAAGGCTCCAACCAAGATCAGTCTAACGGACGTCTTCAAAGTAAAAATGTGGCAAAAAATGCCACAAAATTTCACAAAAATGTACATTTTTGCTCCATGAATCCCTAGTATTTCTAAAGTTTCTAATTACCAAATGGTTTATGTACACATTATCCATGTAGAGACAGATTTGGCGACAGGTCCTGTATTTGGATTACAAGTTTTGAAGATCTGTCTAGGAAGTTACCATCAAAACAATCAATTTCATCTTGATTACTATTCAAGAAGAAACAAACAACAGAACTTTTGAATGTGGCACATACATTCACAAATTTCAAAATGCATTAAAATATGTGAAACAAAGTATATTATGTATTACAACTGACGGTTCTTGTTACATAAAATTAAAACTTGGTGCCAAAGGAATCTCAATGCGCAGAATCCAAAAAGGTGCCAAAATATCCCAGCAATTGAAGCATATGACTAGAACACTCATAACTCTGAAGTCAGTTCAGTAAATACATTTATACCATTTCATGAAGAGAAAAAATCGGTAGTTGAAAGATGAATTCCTAGCCGTGTCAAAATTCCTTCTTGGTAAGATTCATTCAGCAACTCTTACCTTCACCACGCTGGTTGCAGCTACTGCGGCACGATACAATCTGTCTGTATTTTACTTTCTCCATGTATTTATAGGAAACTTTTGTAGACACATCACAGGTTAATCCAGAAACCTAGATATATTTCCAACAATTCCGAGGGTAATTGTAACACAAATCCTTTGTCGATTTCCTTGTTTACCGACTAACCACAAGTTCCTGTAAATGATGACATTTTGCTGGAGTGAGGTTTTGTAAGCCTCACATTATGACATTATGACATTTTTACAAAAAGCTAAATTTCGACACGAAAGAGGAAATAAGCAGTTTTTTCTTTCTTTTCACATTTCTGTAGTTGATGGTTAATGTGTCTGTAATTTCCTGATTGTTTAATTGCTGACAAACTGTTAAGCTGACGATCTGAACTTTCATACCAGTTATGGAATATCAATACATATTGCTAACAATCAACCCAGGATTTTGAAAGACGCATTCTCTCTTGTTCATTTCCTTGTTTGTTCGTGTCACACTGGAAATGCAAACACAAACGAGTGGTTAATGATAAATTTTAAGAAGATAAGTAAATAGTTAACACCAATACGAACAATTCACAAGATAGTAGGCCTCCAGGAGTTTGCAATGTGTTGGCCAATCACGATGCGCAAAATCTGTCAACCTAACGCGCGTATGGAAAGGGTTGACAGATTTCGCACACTGTGATTGGCCAATTGGCCAAACTCTTGGAGGTGCACTATTGTGAATCGCCCGTATTGTACCTAATTTTTCTTGCTTTAACAAAACTTTAAGTATAGGATGAATTTTAACGAGTTAGAGGAAATGTGAATTTGTCTGGTTGGTGTGGGTATAAACAGGAAAAGTGCACTGAGTGTACTAAGTGAGTATGACAATAAAATTCACTGAAGTGTAGCGTTGCTGGGTGTCCTCTGGATTGCCCATCCAGCAACGAGTGAGCTCTGTGAATGGCAGTGTGCAGTCAACATTGTGTTTTGTTGTGTCCATGCCCCATGTCTGAGACTCGCACACCATTGGCCACCTAATCGGGAGCCTGGTAAGGTTGTGGAGAACACTACAGAAGTACAAGTTGATATCCAAGACCAAGAATTGGTCAAGTTAAATTTGTTATGTAATCAATGAGGGAGGGGTTTGACAGTATGTGTTATCAGTGTTACAAAATAATCTGAATACTAAAGTTCTTGAACAGTTTCTTGAAAAAATTCTCGCAGAAATAATAAAGCTTGTTTCATTGAACATGTGACTCTCACTGGTGTCCATATACATAACACTGCAGCCAATAATGCCAATATTCATCAAAACGCTGGATATCATAAACACTCTCACAAGACTTTGACCAACGTCAGTTTGAAACATTTCTAAAATTAAAGATCCCCCCAAAAACCATGTACGAAATTTTGTTCATGCTTTAAAGGTGAGTCTAGAAACCCAGATATATTTCGAACTAATCCCAGGTAATTGTAACACAAATCCTTGGTCAATTTCCTTGTTTATTGACTAGATGCAAGTTCCTGTAAATCATGACATACATGTTGCTGGAACAAGAAACAAGTAACAAGAAAAAAATGTATTCTATCTCTCCCCCCCCAAAAAAAAAACCACTTGTGTGGTGTAGGCCTTCCATACTATGTGCTGGTGTTTATTGATGAGGACTTGTGTGCTTGTAATGAAAAATATGCAGATCCTTTAGTTTTTAATCTTTAAAAATGTGAGTCATTCTGGCGAAATGGGCAGAAACTAAAATGAAAGTTTGGAGGTGTTCGAAAAAAAATTGAGTTGCTGTACTTCAGTTGAGCTTGACTAAACTTAAAAGCAACTATGTTGATAACTTGAATAACATATTCAACAAACAGAATTTGGTTTCCAAGCCATCAGACTCTTTCAAAAGTATCCAACAAAAGCCGCTGTAACAATCAATTATCACCGTTAAGTGAGGGAGGACATTGTAGTCACACATTCAAAGTGTAAACCCAATGGATCCTGATGCATTCCACGGATCCTCCAATTACTAAAACTTGGTGACAGCACAAATCCCAGTCCATAGAACTACAGAGGAGACAGTGTCCATGTAACATATCAATTTTATATATTTCAACCAACCCAAACATGTCCAAGGAAACAAAGCCTTTTATGTCAATGTGAACCTGTTAGCTATCCCTGTGGCAACTAGCTCTTACCTTACAAAGTTGGCTGTGAAATTACCAAATAACAGAATTATCTGTAATTTGATGACAAAGACAAGATAAAACTTGATCTAACCTAACATAAAATACATTCCAACTGGGGAGAATGGTGACTAAACTTGAACACCTTAAATTTCCTTGACCTTTGATCCGAGTTTATGAAACCCCGGAGGTAATAGAAATGATAGAAAATTTGATGCTGAAAACAGATTCAATGGGATGAAAATTTTGTGATTCATGCCTTCAAGTATACACAGCTGTAAGCCATTGCTCATAAACTTCACATACAAAGTCTGAAAACAAAATTCACATCAGTTGGCATAACCTTCCAAATCATGCATGATTTCATAAGATCCAGTTTGACATCTAAGATATCAGGAAACATATGCATTCATTTGCAAGTTTTAGCACTAAACTTAAATCCAAGCATATTATTGACTTTAGGAGTAAGTGATTTGAGACCTAGTTCATATCAGCTCTCCAATGATGACCTAGAGTCCACCCCAAATAAAATTTTTACAAGATTGGTTGACATACGACTGCAATACAGATGTACAAGATATTTTATCGACCTTAGCGATAAAATTCATTATACTCTAGGAGAAATACCTAGCTGGTGCTGTGTGCAGACTGTGTGTTGAAAGGCATCTGTCATTTAAAAGTAAATCAACAAAGACCACCAACTAGGGAGATACAGGTACAAAGGCTTCACAGTTCTCTACAGGAGAGAGGATGCCTGGATAAGCAGTGTATTTGTGAGTTTGATGGATGGTGCATAATTAAAATTCCTCTTAAGTACAGTTTTGCACTTTGTATCCAACCCCATCATCCTATCCTCTACAATTCTACCCCAATCATCCATATCCCATCATCTCATATCTACCATCTCTACTTTGACTCCACCCCTAATAACATCTATCTCCAATCCTACATCCACCTTATCTTTCCATCCATATCCTACTCCACCCCTCCATT